TATAGAAAGTAAAAATCTTTTTCGCTTTGCCAAAAATGATACCGAGACTTGTTAGGGCTTTCAATTTAGCAAACGTCACGTCTATAGCAGATAAGATTCGCTGCTATAGCAGTTTCTACAAAATTGATTGATAAAGCCTCCTTTTTAATTTTCTGGATCTATTATATTATATCACAAGTTTGTACACATGCTTTAAACACGATTGCAGAAAATAAAGGTAACTTACTACTTGATTTAGTAAATGTACCACATTTAAATTATGAGAAATTAAGTGAATATTCCCAGGTTAGTTTATGTACATGTAAACAATGGAAGTTTTTAAACAACTTTTACGCCACAAGAAATATGGAATGTCCACTTGATAATTGTTGGGGCTTTATAGATGGTACAGTCCCACCAATTTGTACACCAAGCATTAATCAGCAACTTTGCTACTCTGAACATAAGGCTTTATTCCCCAAAATTTTTATCTGTTCTCTGTCCAGATGGAATTATTATTAGTAAGGTGTTTTTGAGAGCAGGCAGCATGAATCAGGATTATGTGAAGAACTGGAGCAAAATGTAACATTTCCAAACCGTCGGTTTTGTTTATATGGAGATCAGGCATATGGATTAGAGTTACTAATCAGATCATACACCGAACATAAAATTAGAGAAAATCTAAATCAAATCAGAAATTGCAAGAAGCATTGAATACTGCTACTATTTCAATTTAAAAAAAAGTGTGCGGAAATGTGAAAAGTGAATAGAACGTGAAAATCGCATGGAAGTAAATATCCCAATCATAATATACAATCTAAAGTAAGATGTCGATGAGACTGATTATGAGTATGGATCTAATTTTTGATTACACTGTTTTAAGTGTTTTTGAAGTAATATGTTTTCATTTCAGGAAAAATTTTGGGTGCTATTGTTATTATTTTATCAGTAAATACTTACCACTACAATTTAAAAACAATACGATTTTGTAATTTTCTTTCTATTTTTCCACTAATAATCGTATATTTCTCTAAATCGGAGGTTACCAACTGGTGGTCCGCAAGATGTAAAAATAAATATATGAAGAGCCAGGGAGAAAAACTATATAAGTCCAGTTTGCAAATTTTCTAGGATAGCGAAAACAAAGTTTTTCTCTCACCACCACTGGCACTAGATGGGACCCTACTTTGGCTTTATATCGTTAAAATGCGTCTCTGTGGCTGTCTGTTTGCATTACAGTTACACAGCCAATTCGCATTTCAGAGATGTCAATTGTACAACATTTTTAAAGCTTTGTTTTTCACGGAAAGTTACATTACGCGTACGTTATGGACCGTTGGTTAAAATGTGTATCTTTAAAACGGGATAGACCTACAGACGAAGAGGGAGAAAATACATTCAATCTTAAAGTTAAATGTCAATGACTCTCGAACCGAACTTATCAGTGTCTCTTGAACCCAACTCGTCGGCGACTCTTAAACCTAATTCGACCAAGATCAGTACTGCAAAAATTAGAAAATACAACTCCATTACTTGGAAATGGCTTTCACGTTCACTGGCTCCGATCAGCAGCCTAAATCTCTATGTGTAATTTGCTATGTATGAAAGCCTTTCGAATGAGTATATTAAGTCAGCAAAACTTCGTCGACATCTTGACACAAAATATCCAGAGTACAAGAGTAAGTCATTCGATTTTTTTTAAACAAACTAGGAGAGCTTAAAAAGATCTCTTTTAATAAACACTATGGTGCAAATGTAAATGCAACCCTTGCATCTTATAAGGTATCCCAGCTTGTCGCTAAAAGTGGAAAAACCATACAATTGCTGAAGAACTTATACTTTCATCGGCAATAATTCTACGCAAGAGAATGATGCAGCTGTTAAGATAATAAGTACTGTTCCGCTCTCTAACAACACTGTCCAAAGATGAATTTCAGATATGTCCAATAAAATTGAAGAGATATTGCTGGTCAGACTTTGTTTGCTCTTCAATTGGACGAAAGCACCGACATATCAAAAAAATGCAATAATGTTGTGTTTTGTTCGATTTTTGTGGGAGGATTTATTGGAAGATTTTCTTTTTTCATGCGAACTACTTCACACAACAGCAGTAGATATTTTTACTGCATTGAATGATTTTTCAATAAACATGACGTCACATGGACAAAATGTGTGAGCTTGTCTACGGATGGAGCAAAATCAATGGCAGGCCACAAAGCAGGACTTCAAGCTCGTGTCAAAGCAGTAGCTCCCGAGGTAAAATGGACACACTGTTGTATTTATTTTAAAGCCTTGGTAGCCAAAACATTGCCTGAACCTTTGCAGAAGATACTTAACGAAGTAGTTTAAATCGTTAACTACATTAAAACTCGACCTCTGCAATCCAGATTATTTTCTTTGCTGTGCAAATAGATTGGCAGTGAGCATAACACCTTCTTATTCATACGGAAGTAAGTTGGCTCTCTCGAGGGAGGATATTGACAAGATTTTTTGAACTTAGAGAAGTTCGTGTTTTTCTTCTTGACGATGTTCTCACTGACTTTTAACTGCCTACTTAGCTGACGTGTTTAAACACTTTAATGTATTAAACTTAAGTTTGCAAGGGAAAAATGTAAACATGTTTAAAGTTGAAGATAAGATCAGTGTTATGGTAAAAAAGTGCCAGCTGTGGGAGGCAAGGATTGAAAACGAGTCGTTCACTAACTTTCCTAATTTGACACAGTTCTTAGTCTGCAGAGCAGAGTTTACCTGACCCGATAAAGATCACCACAGCCGAGCACCTACGCAGCCTAGCCACGACTTTTAGGAGGTACTTCCCTGAACCTGACGATGGTTGGATTCGAAATCCTTTCAGGTGTTAAGCAATTGGACAAATCCAAGGCCTCACAGAACAAGAAAAGCTTGTGAATTTGTCGAGTTGTGGTACGATGAAGGACATTTTTAATGGCGAGAAAATAGCAGACTTCTGGGCAACAGCACGCATGGATTACAAAGAGACAAGGCCATGAAAAAAAATCCTTCCGTTTACAACAACCTATCGGTGTGAGCAAGCATTTTCTTCCGTGTGCTTCATAAAAAACAAATATAGAAATCGGCTTAACATGCGGTCGGATTTCAGAAAGAAAGTTTCAAGTTTGGAACCCAACATTACAGAAATAATGGATTCTAAGGTTAAATTCAACGTATCTCATTAATTGAGGAGTTAAAATTAAAACTAATAATGTACTTGTGTAGGTATTCTGTATTTTCACAAATAAATCCTAAATAGTATTAGTTTGATTTATGTTTTCACATATTTTGGCTCTTTTCAGGTAACTTTAGGTTTGTTTAGGTCTTTAGGAAATAGTGGAGGGCCTCGTCATTGTAGTACCTTGAAGTTGTCCTTGAAAAAATTTAGTTGGGAACCCCTGCTCTAAATGAATGTAAAATACATCAGTTAAAACCGTACTTTTGCTTGTATTCGACAGTTCTTCACACATTTGGGAAAATTTGCTATTAACTTTCTTAGCACAGCAGATCCTCTAAAGTCTAAGTCAAAGCTTTTGAAATATACTTTACCAACAGCCTCTAAGGTACGTACGTTTTTACTGGAGCGTCTGTTGCGATTATCGCTGTGTACTGCTTGTATGGTCTGTCATGGCGCCGTTTTGATTGAAGCGTCTGTTGCTGGAGCCGCTTGGGTATGAGTTTTAGTTTTTTATTAATGGATATGGAGTATATGGATATACACAGTTTGTAGATGACTTTTTCATATCCTTTTTTACGAAACAACACAAAATCAAACTGTTCATTCAAACGGAAGAACTTTGGGAAAGAAACTGAATATCTCATAACAAATGGTTTTATCAAAATTTTGAAGAATCCTTCTTGTCTTCTTTTAAATATTGCATGTTTTTCTAATCTTGGAACACTTAACATTTCTCCGTCCTCTATTTTTTCTGCTAGCAGGTATTTTAATAATAATTGCATAATTGCAATAAACAAATCATCGCTTCAGTAAAAATACTCCGCTTGCGATCATCGCTCAGCGACGATCGCAACTGATACCCCAGTAAAAATGTACCTTTATAACGTAATTGCCCGCCCTTACGATTTTGTTAATAATTATTAAATAAAATTATATACTTACATTAAAATGCATCCTGATAACGTTCGAAAATAAAAATATACGCACTCATTGGGTCCATTTAAACAGAAGTAACACAAAACTTCAAAAGAAAATAATTAAAAACAACTAAAGGGCAACGAAAAATCAAAGAGAACGTTCAAAAGGCGTTACGGATAGAAAAATAGATTAATTCAAATATTTTATTTTAAATAAAGAAAAAAATTCTAACATAAAAACTTTATAGTAATAATATATTGGGTACCAGTAAGTCACAGGAAAATATTTTAGTCACATTTATTTCAAATTTAAACATCTAATAATTTCACATTGTAACGGATGCGTTACTGGATCTTAAATAGTAAGAATAAATAAAAAAATTAACAGGCTTGAATAAAAACGAAATCTTACAATACGAAAGGGAGCGGTCCCAAGAAATTAGAACAATATTTTTATTTTGTAAAAATTTCGATCAATTTCTGAAGACCATTTCCTGTGATACAGTAAGAGCCAAAAAATACTAACATTTCCATACGCATCACAGGATGACAATAAAAATGTGCTTACTTTCCAGCAAATTCAAATCCTAGACTAAAAATGTAAAACCTACAGTACAAGAAAGGGGAAAAATGAATGAACATGTCAAAAAAGGGGATACATACTATATAGTAAGTGCACAGATGTAATTTTGCATCACAAAGTATGAAAAAAATTGAAAGTGTCTAATGCTGTATCCCCTAAAACTAACATCAAATAGAACGATTTTTTATCTTCATTATATATATACGTTTTCATACTTTGTGACTTAACTCTTTTAAACTTCAACTAGACATGTAGCACAGAATTTGATACAGTACAAGGGTCGCAGCGACTAGATCTCGCCAACGACTCCTGTGAAAGAAAAAACAAATATATTACAAAAATTTACACAATTATATTAATTTATAAATATATTTATTAATTAAATTTGTCTTGTAAATCAAATAACGGTTAAGTTATTCACTTTAGTGGACCCGGCCACAAAGCAAAAAGTTCGAGGTGTTGAAAAATGTAGACAATGAGCCGGGATGAAACAATGGAAAGCTGAAAATGCAACTCTGGTTTCCTCACTTTGAAGTCATCATGGTGACGAACTCTGCAACAAAAAAATATGTTTATCGATATTCTAATCAGTATTTTAATAAGCGATGAACATAAAATGTTAACATTTTTTACAACTAGTTATTGCACACAAATACAAACAGAATTAAGTTTGTTCGTTAAGCCTGTACATTAGTGTGATTTCAACATGCTTTACTACATTGTCATGGAAATAAAATTTGACATGTAACATGAACACATTTTTTCTAAATTCTGAAGTTGCAGTGGAAATCCGATCTTAATTTGTACACTGAGATACACATTATTTATTATTTATTTAGCGTATGGACTTTAACAGTACGATAAATATACAAATACAATTACAATAATATACACATATATATTATTTATATTATTCAAACACTAAAAATAGTACAATAGAATGAATGACACTAAATATTAATGTCCAATTTACATAGCCATTCAATTGCTTCTGGGGAACATTCCACAAAGTCTTGGAGGTTTCCACGGTAGGCACGATTCAAGCAGTCTGAAACACAATGGCTTATGGTCTGTCTAGATTCTCCGCAATCGCACTGTGGACTTTCTGCACGACCCCACCTGAACAGCGAATCAGCACATTTACCATGTCCGGTACGTATACGATTAAGCCTTGCCCAAATGGACCGGGGCAGATTTGATCCGATGAAACCCTGAGTTGGGGTGGATATCTTAATATAGTCCGATTCTACTGTTGGCATCCATCTTGTTGTCCATTGCCTATGTATATCATAGGAATTACCAATTTTTCGGGCAGATCGTATTGGAGGATTTCTAGATCTCAATCGTTGTTGCTCTTTTGAGATGTCTGGGATATCTTGATGTATTGGTAATTGTACGTTGGCTACAATTTTCTGGTACTCTCTCACTAATGCTGCTGTACGGCGTAGATCTGGTGGAGCAATATTGCTCAGAGTAGGCAGCCATCTCACTGGCGTTGATTTTATTGTTCCAGTGATTATTCTCATGGTTTGGTTAAGTTGGACATCGATTTTGCTTGTATGTGCACTATTTAGCCATACTGGTGCACAATATTCTGCCACTGAAAAAACCAAAGCTAGAGCAGAGGTCCGAAGAGTATCTGCAGAAGCACCCCAAGTTGTTCCAGCAAGTTTTGATATTATCAAAATATATATTATATATATATTTTGATAATACTGGGATACACAAAAAATATGGATTATAGAGGGTAAAGAGCGGCGTGTAATACACCCTTTCAGTTTCTAAAAGCATGTTCTTCGTTCTAACTATGACATGTTTCAGACTATATGATGATATAATCAGATAGTGGTAGAAATCAAAAACAGACTGACGAAGGGAAAGATATGATTCTTAACCGAATTTCCCACATTACAAAGGAATTCGTGTCCACTCTGTGAAGTGAAAAACTTCTAAAAAAAAATAAGAATCCTACCCTTCCTTCTCAGAGTTTGCCTTCTATTTTTAGCATTATCTGATAAGGACCAATATGTACCTAAAAATGTCATAGTGTAAACAAAGAACAGGGTATTAGAGAAGAGATAGGCATTCGTGCCTTCTGGCAACTAAACCTTAATAAAAACAAATTACAGAAATTCATTTCTTGAAGATAGAAGTATTTTCAAAAATACTGAATGCTCTCTGGAGACTAACCAACTCAAAGCATATTTTAAACAACTAGTATTTTTGACAAGGCCTTTTTTTACTAACTTTAAACATATATTCAGGTCTGTCATGTGTCTGCCAAGTATCTGATAATTCAGAAACTTTTTTGTAGTAAAAAAATGAATTTGTCACTCCCATAAAATAATCGGCTCTTTGACCCTTTATGACCACGTCTTGAAATAGCACATTACAAGAGGTCTGATAGTATGTTTATATGTAAAGTAGTCCTTACAGAGAGGTGTTTCTACAGCTCGTTATTAATTGAATCAGATTATTACTAAGGACTGCCAAGGCCCTAATATAGTTTTATTATATTCTACCTTTCTTATATCTTTGGTGTAGTACTGGTACACATAATAACATTGATTATTAAAATGACTTAAATGCTTTAATGATGAATGAGATAAGTTTACCATTATACGAGGATAGATTGATATTAAATTAGCCTTTGATAGATGGCGCTACTTCGGTGTTGAAGTAGCGCCATCTATCATGACATGAGGTCTGTAAAAATTTTTAAGTTTTCAAAAAATTAGTTTGGTTTTTACAGCCGTCAAAAGCAAGCACATTTTGTGTTTTTGGAGAAATGGAAAAAGTCGAGTATCGTTCGGTGATAAAGTTCCTCTACAAAAAGGGTAAAACAAATGTGCAAATCAAAGCCGACCTGGACGAAGTTTATGGTGAGGTTGCACCTTGGTTAGCAACAGTAAAATTATGGAAAGCAGACTTTGTTCGTGGTCGTACGAGTGTTTTTGATGATGGGCGTCCCGGGAGACCAAATGAAGTCACCACGCCGGATATAATCAACAAAGTTCATGACATGATTATGGCAGATCGTCGAATTAAGCTCCGCGAGTTAATAGAAATCCTAAACATTTCCTACGAACGCGTACACAACACCATTAGCCATCATTTGGACATGAAAAAGCTATCCGCGCGATAGGTGCCGCGTTTGCTGACAATCGATCAAATGCAAAAACGTGTGGCCACTTCGGAGACGCTTTTGGCGATGATACGGCGCGATCCGAAGGATTTTTTTCGCCGATTTATCACCCTTGATGAAACCTGGGTACATTATTACACACCGGAAACCAAAGAACAATCGAGACAGTGGCGCAAACGCGGCGAAGGGCCGCCGAAGAAGGCAAAGAGTGCACATTTGACCGACAAAGTGATGACGACTGTTTTCTGGAATGCAAAGGGTATCATCCACATCGACTACTTGGAAAAAGGAAAAGCAATAAATGGTTAGTACTACGCAGCATTATTGGATCGATTCGATGCCGAATTGAGTCGAAAACGCCCCGGTTTGGAACGTAAAAAGTGCTCTTTCACCAAGACAATGCACCGGCTCACCAATCGGCCGTCGCCATGGCAAAATTACACGAATTGGACTATGAATTGGTTGAATACCCACCGTATTCCCCAGATTTTCCGCCAGCGAATTTTTCCTGTTTCCAAACCTAAAAAATTGGCTCGGAGGACGTCGTTTCGCAACACATGATGGTGAAGTCGTCGCTGAAACTTCGGCCTATTTTGAAGAGCTCGAGCAAAAGTACTATTCGGATGAGATAAAAAAAGTTGGAACATCGGCTTACTAAGTGTATCGAGCTAAAAGAGGACTATGTTGAGAAATAAATCGATTTAATTCCATACAACTTGATTTTTCTATCAAAGGCTAATTTTATATCAACCCAACCTCATATTATCACATTACTTCTTAATTCAGCTTTATTTAGATACTTGTAAAAGTAAACCTGTTTTATCAACAAATCAAATATACATGTACAAAAGTGTATCTATGCATAACTTAAAATGACACATTTTCTAAAAACATAACAATTGTGAAAGTAACAAGGATTTTGAACATTTTTTTCTATATAAACAGAAGTTAATTTTGTTAGATTAAGGAAATAAAAGAAATTGTCGAAATTGTAATCGAAGGGCTTTAAATAAAACTAAAGAATAAGCGTAGCTTTTTATTTACATTTTATACATATGAATTAAATTAATATCTGTAAACTATCTAATCTTCTACATTTCTTTGTAACCAATATCTTATTTAGCCAAGAGGTGACTTCTAATAAACTCTAAAAATAAAAATAATTTCAGATAAATTAACCTACAAGAATAAAATAATTAAAAACCAAATTAAAGTATACATAAAAGAGTATAAAAAAAGTATGTCATTATTTGAATAAGAAAAATTTTCGTTTACCTTCACCTAACATATAAAAGGATGAGCACACTTGACACTTGGCTAGAAAGAAGAAATATAAAGCACATTTCAAGCGGAAGACAATACACATGGAGTATTATCTTGAAAAATTTCGACATTTCTTTTATTTTTATCGTAAATCACTAAACTTAACTAAATCTAACATAAAGGCATCCAATAACAAATGTTAAAACTCATTCACTGTGTTAAGACATCACAAACAAAAACTCTATGATGTATATGAAATATTTGGATTCAATACAGTAGGAACGCAAAAACACTAACGGTAATTCTGTAATAATAGTAAGTATTTGTAGTTATTTTATTTGGTTTTTTTTCAGTGCCCTAGTTCTTTCTAATATATCTAGTCGATAGTGACGATAAAATCTATAAAAAAAATTTATGAAATCATATCAAAGATTATCAAACCACTCCAAGAGACTTTCGACTAGGTATACAAGAATTTTATTTCACCTTATTTTATCAATTAGTTTTTTTTATTTATTTATTTTTACAAATAACTACCACCAACCTGAAGTAATATACATATTGTTTAATAGCGTGTACTCTTGTGTAATATACATACTGCTTGAATTCAGATTATTTCAATTTAGTACTGTACGTTGAAAGTCGCATCTACCTCTGAGAACATATGAGCTGGCTAGAATTAACGGAAACGTTTATTGTAGGTTAGACATTGACTTCCAACGTTGATTGTTGCTTACAAATTAGGGATTCGTAAACTTTTATTTTTTAATGGAGAACTACACGATTAAAATATTAATTCATTTTAACCATTACAGTATTAAAAAGTACACACGCTTTTAATCTAACAGAAGAACAGAACACACGCTTTATTTTTGCATCTTCTTGTTCTGACACTTTTCCCCTCTTCACTAATGAAAATTTCACAATGCATTGCCATGTTATGGAAACAATTGTTTCGGCACTAATTATTTCATTTTATTTTTGTCAAAATAATCATCTTGTTGTACTGTTCTTTCAGTTTTTTTTTATTGTTTAATGGCTTTGGCGTAGCCAATTAGCAAGGTTCTTTCAGTTAATTTAACAAAAAAAAATCAATAAATGTTTTTTCATTGAACAAGAAAACCTAAAATATGCGTTCTGCTTTT